GGACGTCGCGTACGCCCCCCCCCCCCCCCCCCCCGGAGCACTGTTTTACCACGTTATATCCAAATTCGTGTTATATCGGGCCGCGTTATATCAGGGTAGAGGTGTATATCTGTTTTATGGTATGCTTCTTTTTGTTGTTGTAGCTTCAAGAGAAAACCTTTTCAATGATGTCAACAGAGTGTGTGCAACCACTTGATATCCCAGAAGACAGATTGGACAAGCGAGACTCACACTGCAACCGTTTAGGTAAGTGTTATTATGGTGATGTCAGTGACTTGTAATTAGAGAGATGTCTTCTTTACCTCATTAAGTACTGTCCACTGGCTTTTTCTTTCCAAGAGGTATAACTGAGCCCTCGTGAAACCCGATAGACTATGCCTTCTGGTAACACATCTGCTGCCAGATGGACAGGCAAAGGGTGTCTTTCCTGCATATAAATATTAGCTGAAGCTCTAGAAGGAAATTAATTAAAGAGAGGAAAGGAGAAAGAGTCATTGTTCTTTTTCGTGACAGAGAAAGAGAAGCGCTTTTATCGATTATACAATAATAAACTGGAAGCTAAGATATATCTGAGCCTTCACTACACCCACTTTCTATGTGCAATTTCCGTAAAAGATTTCAAATATTCCTTTAGCCTATATTTGGACAGAATTTTATTTTTTTCCCCTTTATTGTCAATCAGTGTCCTTTCTGGAGCTGACTTTTTACATAACTTTTGCACTTGGAGTACCAGAGGCATCTCTGCTCATAAACATTTCTAAATATGAGGCTTTCAAGACTTTGATAGATGTGACTTTTGCATATTTTTGCATTTTGCATATTCGCCTTTACTTCACATGTCATTACTTTATTCCAGCCTTCCAAAATTGTCATGAAGATTTGCTAACCCAGGCACAAAAATCTACTTGACTACCCGTACACTGATGTTAATAATGAAATACAAATGCTATTTTATTTGTCCCAAGCAAGTAGAATTTTGCAAGCCTGTTTACTCACACACAATCAAGATGTCTGAGTGTGATTTCACCCTGGAAGCACAACCCACGTCAGGGCTCTTTTATGATAGGGGCTATGTAGAAACAAAATAAAAAATATCTCTCTTCTGAAGAACTTATCATCTAAATAGACAAAACAGACAAAAGATGTGAGAAAGGAAGAACTATTATCCCAATTTTACAGGTGTGGAACCGAGGCACACAGGAATAAATGATTTTACACAAGATCACATGGGAAGTCTGTGGCACAGCTGAGCATTGAAATCCAAAACTGCTGAGTACCAGTGCAGTGCCTTAATTGTGAAGTCATTCATCCTTACTTTCACTAGTCCATGGAAGTATGATGGTGTGAAATCTAGGACGTGAAATCAGAATCAGGCCCCTTTTGTTAAGCAAAGCTGACAAATCCAACCAAAGCCAAATTTAAAAACCAAACCTCTGGTTTGTGTGCTATTAGTGATGGGTCAACCTCAAGAGACTCAATTTGTTCAGCTTGATTAAGCATCCAGAAATTTGGGTAATTGTCTAGAATGTACCCAGACTATCTAATGAGTCAAGTCCTGCTTCAATATACACTGGTGCAAATCCAGAGTAACTCCACCAAAGTAAATAGGAGCTGTGGGTAGAGAGGACCTCTTAAAATTAGTCCTATTATTTAGGTGTCTAAATATGGCATCTAAGATTGAAAATATTAGCCTTAACGTCTGTGTCACCCTATCTATAATATGGGTATAATTCTTCCCTTCTTCACTGTGAGGTTTAATTCTCTAAGGCCAGCATAAGGTACTTAATTCTCACTTATTCCCCGTTTTTAGTGGTATTAAGGCCCTTGTGATCAGGGCCGGCTCCAGGCACCAGCACAGCAAGCAGGTGCTTGGGGTGGCCAAGGGGAAGGGGCGGCACGTCCGGCTCTTCAGCGGCAATTCGGCAGCGGGTCCCTCGGTCCTTCTCGGAGGGAAGGACTTGCCGCCGAAGAAGAAAGCGGATCGCGATCGCGGCTTTTTTTTCTTTTTCCCTGCCGCTTGGGGCGGCAAAAACCCTGGAGCCGGCCCTGCTTGTGATGGCCTTCTGTGCAGAGGTGAATTTACTTTGTGTTTTAACCAGCTACGGTGTCAGTATTGTTATTAAAGTGAGCCCTTTTTTAAATTCTGTGATTCATTATTTTCTATTAGCGAGGTATTCTTTATTTTTTCCATGCAGATGACCTTTCAGAACAGTTCATTAAGAATTGTGACCTAAAAAAGAAACCAAGAAAGGGTAAAAATATCCAGGCTTCCCAGAACAGTGAGCTGGAACAGAAAAAGCCAAGGAGAAAGGATACACCTGCCTTACACACCCCACCACCTATACCAGGTAACACAACTTAGTAATATTGAAATCTGACAAACTTCTGATGTTTCCTGGTTTACTTGTATTCACTAGGAATTGAATAAAAATATTACTGTCCTCAATTTTCCTACATCTGTGTGTGCCTACTTATGGCAGGGAGGGAGAATAGGATTCTCAAAAGCACTCAGTGTTGAAATGTATGAAAAATTCACACCCCTGAGACACATAGTTAAGCCGACTAAAGCCCCATGGTGTGTACACACAGTTAGGTTGACAGAAGAATTCTTCCATCAACCTAGCTACCGCCCCTTGAGGAGATGGATTAACTACATTGATGGAAAATACCCTTCCCTCAGTGTAGCAAGTGTCTACACTACAGCACTACAGTGGCCCAGCTCCAGCACCATAGTTGTGCCACTGTAATGTAAGCATACCCTAAGTATATTAAGTTAGATGGGTGCAATTTTTATCAATGTAGATGAGATTTAAGTAATATTTATTGTGTGTCGTTCTCTGCAGGCATCCTCTCAGACTTTTCAGAACATTTAATTAAAAGGTGTGATATCACCGAAAACCCACAGAAGGGTAAAGTGAGTTCAGTCTCTCAGCTCACTGATCAGGAACAGAAAAAACCCAGGAGAAAAGATACACCTGCAATACACATCCCACCCCTTATACCAGGTAAGAGCATTAGCACAGCTTTCAAACGTAAAAAGTAAAGGGCAGTTAGTTTAGGAACACCCTCTGGAAATGTACGGGACACCATTTATCTGCCCACTCTGCTTAACTTGTCTAATCATGCCTACTTTGATCTACTTATTTTTCTTATTCCCAATTGGAATTATTGTTATTATTTGTGGTGCAGTAGTGACCAAAATGTGCTAGGTTCTGTACAAAGATAGGATTCAGTCCCTGTTCTGAAGAGCTTACAATCTGAAAGAAATTGGGAAAGGGAGATCTCTTTTGACTTACCCTTGCTGAGAACTAAGAATGAGTTCAGAGTTCAAATTAAAAAAAGAACGGACCCAAATCTTTGCCCACAATTTGACTTGAATTTGACCACTTAGACTGTAAGCTCTTTGGGGGCAGGAGCAGTTTCTTGGTTGTGGGTTTGTATAGCTCTAAACATGATGGGGTCCTGGTCCATGGCTGGAGCCCCCTAATGCTGGCATAATACAAATAATACATACTAATGGCAAAGGTGAGTATTTGAACTCATCCAAGCCCCTGGAGGGTCACCTATCAATAAACGAATCCTCCAGTTTTTGTTGGGACCAGAATTTTGTTATCAGTTTAAATGTATCCAATCAGTCTTCTCCTCACTTCTCACCCATGTAGCAAATGGTGAAATCTGAAGGCAGGAGGCAGCATGGTTTAATGTATAAAGAGGCAAGAACACTTGGCTTGTTATCCTGGCTCTGCCACTGACTTACTGTGTGGCCTTGGGAAAGTCACGTAGACCAAAATTTGGGTGCCTAAAATTAGGCAGTTGAATCCATCTCTAGGCATCTAATTAAAGCATGGCATGATTATTGGTTGTGCTGAGCACCTATAGTCCTGAGTGAATTTTAGGTCCTGATCCCTCACTGTGGCCAAGCACATTTCAGGAAGGGCTCTTGTGGCCCCTCTGCTGCCGTGCTGCAGGATTGAGGGAGGAGAAAAGGGGTTCAAATTATAGCCAGCCCCCAATGGTTCCAAGCATCCGTAACAGCAGTGAGGGACTGTCAGAAGGCCCCAGCGATGCCCCCTAATCCAGCTGCAGGGGCATAACGAGCATATGCAACTATCTCACTGGAAGATCATGATATACATTGAGGTGATCCAGCAGTGGTGGCCATCCAGACAATGGCTTCAGGGCCTTTTTGTGGCGGTGGTACAACTGGAGAGGCTATGGAGCAGCTAACTAGCTTGGGTATCCCTATGGACTCAGCCACCCAAATTTGAACATTGTGCCCTTAATTACTTTGTTTTTTAGTTTTCCTATCTGCAAAAAAGACACTGCTTCTTACTTTCCCTACACCACAAATGTGTTGTTAGCCTTAATTAGCTAATGTTTGCACAGTGCTTTGAAGATGTACAGTGCCATATCAGCGTCAAATATTACTACTGTTCAGGGAGGAGTGAGCTATTGCCAGTCAGAAGAAGCAATGTCTCAGCTGTTTCCAAATCACGGGGGAGGGAGGGACAGCTCCAAATCTAGTGTTAAATGGTTCATAAAGTAAGATACCACTGGAGAGGGACACTTACTAGATAGTAAGGAGCACTAGAAAAGAAAAGGCCTAAGGACCTGATTCAGCAAAGCATTTAAGTGCATGCTTACATTTAGAAACAGTTGGCACAGAGAGAGAGAGAGAGAGAGAACGAAACGAAAGGAAAGAAAATTATAGAGGGGGACAATGATAAGAGGCACCTTAGAAATATTTCCACCAGACTGATGGGGAAAAAAATCCAAACAACTAAAAATAGACCTGAGGAAATGTAAGCCCTTTGAGGCCAGATTTCCAATGGTATCTCAATGCCTAAAGTTACAGATAGGCATCACCTGGAATTTACAGAATTGTCTAAACAGGTTAGGCACCTAAATGTGTGATGCTTCCCAGGGGCACCCAAGCTTGGGAGGTACCTTACCACCACCAGCCCTTTGCCTGAGGAAGTCTTGTCTGTACTTGCTGTGGGTCAGCTCCCTGAAACCACCAGCCTCTGGCAGCACAATCGCTTCTTTCCAGGCCTCCGCAGGTCTCACTTTCTGTATAAGCAGTGATAGGCACACACCAATCCCCGAGTACTGCAAGCATGCCCTATTCCTTTGAACACACACAGAACGAGATCTGCTGTTCCCAAAGGAATAGCACACACCATCTTGTAAGCATCTGCTCAGAGTCCCTGCTTTACTTAACACATAGCATTTAGATAGATAATAAATTTATTCTTGTTCCCACTAATCTTATCAAAGAACAGAGATTCAAGTGATAGAGAGTGAGAACAGGGCCGGCTCCAGGCACCAGCTTCTCAAGCAGGTGCTTGGGGCGGCCGCTCTGGAGAGGGGCGGCAGGTCCAGGTATTCAGCGGCAATTCGGCGGACGGTCCCTCACTCAGCCTGGGAGTGAAGGACCTCCCGCCAAATTGCCGCCGCAGATCGCGATCGCAGCTTTTTTTAGATCGCGATCACGGCTTTTTTTTGTTTGTTTTGTTTTGGCTGCTTGGGGCGGCCAAAACCCTGGAGCCGGCCCTGAGTGAGAATATGGGAAACAAATGGTTACAGATAAAACAAAATAATAACATGCATTCTAGAGACTAAACTTAACTAACAAAGTATTCCTCCATATCCTAAGGATAGCTTACCCAAAGTTCTTTCCCCAGGGTTTTCTCCAGTTTGGCTAAGACGACTTCTTATCAGATCAAGCCCACTGGCATATTGTCCTCACAGATTGAAGGAATGAGGGTGCATCTCCTTATACCCCTGAAAGTTAATTGTCCTTACTTTAAACAGGGCTCTCCCCTACTGGTTCACTTCTTTCTGTAAATTTCTTCTCTTTGAAGATTTCTCAATCCTCCATTAGCATTCGGCTCAGACTATAGGTGGAGGCCCATTGTGAACCATAAAATACGTAATTTACATGTAAACAAGACAGACATAACCATTTCTTGCCTGAAAGAAAATGTGGTTTTCCCTTTCTGCTGACCAGTCCCTAGTTACAGTCCATAACGACATAATTTTCAGTATATATACACACAACTCCTTACTCAACATCCAGACGTATATATGGTCATGGTGAGCAGTGTGACACAGGCTTTCATTAGAAAACTTACATGGCATTCTTTTGGTGAACCCAAGGGACCCCTATACCCTTATATAACCCTGTACCCTCTGCCAGTTGCCATCTCGAGGTTCTTGGGTCACAAACTCCTATTCAAATCAATGGGGCTTAGGTTGCTTTTGAAAATCCCAGTAGGCAACTATCTGCCTCTTTAGGTGCTTAAATATCTTTGTAAATCTGGCCCTTCCGAAGGGTCCCTGGTAATTCAGGGCATCTGCTCATGTGAGTAAGGTTGAGACTGTTTGGAGGATTAGGTCATAGAGTTTGGCAAGTACTGGAAAAAATGAATCCACCAATATCCTACAAATTGCTCTGCACAATCAGACCTTAGCACCTGTGCCACCCCATTACAATCTAGTGTTGACTGACTTGCAGGATCAAGGCTTAAATTTGAATTTTCAAACAAATTTGCTTGTACTGCGTTTGCAAGCAATTTTGTCTTCCTTTCATTAAAATACTTCAGTTAACATGCCTGGGAGGTTGGGGGAAATCAATTTTAAGTAAATATTGGAATCATTAGAGGCACCTAAATACCTTTGAGGATCTGGGCCTACGTGATATATTTCCAATTGCAGCTGCTTCATTTTCAAATGTTAAATATCAAGTAGGACTGTCAAGTGATTAAAAAAAGTAATCACGATTAATCATGTGATTAAAAAATTAATCACACTGTTAAACAATAGAATACCATTTATTTAAATATTTTTGGATGTTTGATTTCAGTTACAACACAGAATACAAAATGTACTTTAGATGTATTTTTGATTACAAATATTTGCACTGTAAAAAAAACAAGAAATAGTATTTTTCAATTCCCTTATTACAAGTACTGTAGTTCAATCTCTTTATCATGAAAGTTGAACTTATAAATGTAGAATTACGTACAAAAAAACTGCATTCAAAAATAAAAATGTAAAACTTTAGAGCCTACATGTCCACTCAGTCCTACTTCATGTTCAGACAATTGCTCAGACGAACAAGTTTGTTTACATTTTCAGGAGATAATGCTGCCCGCTTCTTTTTTTACAATGTCACCTGAAAGTGAGAACAGGCATTTGCATGGCACTGGCATCGCAAGATATTTATGTGCCAGATGTGCTAAAGATTCATGTATCCCTTGATGCTTCAACCACCATTCCAGAATACATGCGTCCATGCTGATGATGGGTTCTGCTTGATAAGAATCCAAAGCAGAACGGACCGATGGATGTTCATTTTCATCATCTGAGTCAGATGCCACCAGCAGAAGATTGATTTTCTTTTTTGGTGGTTCAGGTTCTGTAGTTTCCGCATCTGAGTGTTGCTCTTTTAAGACTTCTGAAAGCATGCTCCATACCTTGTCCCTCTCAGATTTTGGAAGTCATTTCAGATTCTTAAATCTTGGGTGGAGTGCTGTATCTATCTTTAGAAATTTCACATCGGTACCTTCTTTGTGTTTTGTCAAATCTGCAGTGAAAGTGTTCTTGAAACAAACATGTGCTGGGTCATGTGACAAAAAGTTCCTCTTCTGCCTTGGTGGGTCCTGCACTTTTTGGCGGATTAGCTCTCCTCAGAGGTTCATGGCAGCCCTCAGTTTGGCCGCTTCTGCTCAAGGCTCAAACCTGCCATTCACTCAGCTAACCTCATCACTGGCCAGCATGGGGGAAAAGGGAGAACAATCTCCGCTGTCTCTGTGTACCACCTAGTAGGTCGGGAACAGGCCAGATCCCTCAGCACCTTCTTTATCCTCATACCACAGGACTTTCCTCCTGAAGCCTGATCACGCTTGTACTACTTAGTCCTCCAGTACCACACCTTCTCACTCCCTGCTCCTTGCACGCCCTCCACTAACTGATGGGAGGTCCTTTTTAAACCAGGTGTCCT